CGAAAGAGTCGGCAAGGACGGACCGGAAATCGGGTCAACGAGGTCAAGTGTCCAGTCGATCAGAGTGACCCTCGTTAGAAGACTTTAATTCGTGAAACTGCAACTTACCGATACGATACGACAACGGTGAACGTGTTCAATCGTCTTTCGAGTTAAACGTCTCTTCTAGGTACTTGTTCTACTCTGCAACCTTCGACAGTTGACCCTCGTTACATTGCTACCAATGGGTATCTGACACTTGGCAATATAGGGAGAGAATTGGTAACAGTTTCTGATATAGGAAGGTTATAATGGGAATTTGTGATTTTGACAATTTTTTATTTTTAGAGTTTGTTTTGAGGAGTTTTGTAATTTGTGAATTTGACAATTTTTTATTTTTAGGGTTTGTTTTGGGGATTTTTGGAATTTGTGATTTGGCAATTTTTGTGGTTGGGTGTTTTTGAGGTTGAAAGTTTTTATATTCGAAATTTGGAGAATTTGGGGAGTTTAGGGATTTTGGAATTTAGGAAATTTGAGATTTGGAGAATTTAGGGAATTTAGGGATTTTGGAATTTATGAATTTGTAAATTTGTCTACTTGTCACCTTGCCAACTTGTCAACTTGTCAATTTGTTAATTTGTCAACTTGTCAAATTGTCGACTTGTCAATTTGTCAATTTGTCAATTCGTCAACTTGTCAACTTGTCAATTCGTCAACTTGTCAATTCGTCAACTTGTCAATTCGTCAACTTGTCAATTCGTCAACTTGTCAATTCGTCAACTTGTCAATTCGTCAACTTGTCAATTCGTCAACTTGTCAATTCGTCAACTTGTCAATTCGTCAACTTGTCAATTCGTCAACTTGTCAATTCGTCAACTTGTCAATTCGTCAACTTGTCAATTCGCCTGTCAACTTGTCAACTTGTCAACCTGTCAACTTGTCAACCTGTCAACTTGTCAACCTGTCAACTTGTCAACCTGTCAACTTGTCAACCTGTCAACTTGTCAACCTGTCAACTTGTCAACCTGTCAACTTGTCAACCTGTCAACTTGTCAACCTGTCAACTTGTCAACCTGTCAACTTGTCAACCTGTCAACTTGTCAACCTGTCAACTTGTCAACCTGTCAACTTGTCAACCTGTCAACTTGTCAACCTGTCAACTTGTCAACCTGTCAACTTGTCAACCTGTCAACTTGCTGTCAACTGTCAACTTGTCAACCTGTCAACTTGTCAACCTGTCAACTTGTCAACCTGTCAACTTGTCAACCTGTCAACTTGTCAACCTGTCAACTTGTCAACCTGTCAACTTGTCAACCTGTCAACTTGTCAACCTGTCAACTTGTCAACCTGTCAACTTGTCAATTCGTCAACTTTTCAACTTGTAAATCTATAAATTTGCAAATTTGAAAATGTATAAATTTGTAAATTTTCAACTTAACGAATTAAACAAATTTGTAAGAGAAAAGCGTATAAGAGTAGCGCCGTGTTTTCCCTTCCGTTTTTATTTTCTTTGTTTCCTCAACGACTTTCTCTCCCTTCGAATGGTCTTTATTCGCCGTCACGATAGAAGCTGGCTATAAACGTGCAAGAATCCTCCAGAGTGAACGGTCCTGTGACAGAAAACGGACGAAGACGAACGAGGCGATTGTTCTCGAGTGTCGTTGGCGTTTCTTCTTTCTTCCGTTTTACTTCTGTTACTTTCTTGCTCTTAGATAATTGCTTCCACCGATACGACGGGACTTCTTCAACGTTCTTCTCGTAATTCACCGACTTCAGCGACGTACTTGAAAATATTTTTAACCTCTCTTATACTTAAACTAATTAGGCATTAAAATAATTAAATTAACTAATTATATATTGAAAGTTGCAAAATAAATTTGCTCCTAAATTTTACAAAACCTTCATAAATATATGATAGTCATTAATATTGTTCAATTATTAGGTAATAAAATTTAGGGATAACCTTTAAAAATTTAAAGTATATTAATAATCTTTAAAAGTGTAAAATATATTAATAACCTTCAATATTTATTATTAACCTTCAAACGTATAAAGTTTATTAACCAACCTTCAATCTTACAAAATTTATTAATAACCTTCACATGTGCCATAAACATACACATGCGCAATCGTTAATGCAAAATGATAAATACACGCAGTAGAATTTATACAATAAACACAGTACAAATAAAGTACAATTATATTGCGCATAATTATCGTGTACAGTTAACGACAGCGCATAAGTTTGATATCCAACGCCCTATTTATGATCATTTACACACTTGATTCGCGCGTAAGCACGAACCGTTACAGTAGTAATATTAATATCAATAAAAAGCACATCCTGAACTTGATAGAACTTTCATAGTACACTACATTGCAGTCATTATTGTTCAATTATTATAAACGCATAAAAATTAATGGCGGTGAGCATTAAACGTATGCGCAGTACAATGGAAATAACAGACATGCGTAGTAAGATGTGGACAATAATACGCATGCGCAGTGATGGATAATATACATGCGCAGTACATCACGGAAAATAGTATACATGCGCAGGTAAAGTTTATACAATAAATACACTAAAATAATGTTTAATAACTTCACTTCGCACAATTATAACTGAGCTTGTGTTTTATATTCAAAGTCAAAAAATACTCCGAGATGCATCTTAAAATGCCTGTACTTTCGAAATTGCGTGCACGTTATAGTTAGTATTAAGTAACGATGCTTATAATATGTAGTCTCTAATTACGGAAGGGAAGCAAAATGTCGGAGCAACAGAACGGTTTTAAAGCCAAATAAAATTTTTCACAGTGTAAATAGAGCGAAAGGTTTTTATCTGCTCTTAGGACAATAACGTATGTATTTTTTTTTATCGAATGATTTTGGCGCCAAAAGTAAAGCGTCATTTTTTCTTGTAAATCTGTAAAAGTATACTAAACGAATTTCGTGTAGATCGTTAAGAGAGTCACTCGTACTGTTTAAATCAATCGAAGCACAAAAACGAACGATCCATCGTATTTTCTACGGCTGGAAATTGAGCGAACGCGTCGCGATTTGAATTCGCGTGTTGCAGTTCGGTTGGCAGTCGCATCGTAACGAAACCACGATGCAAGATTTATGGTCGTCCATTCATTTCTGCCGTGCGTACGGGCTCGGTAATGTCCGGCAGGAACGTTTCCGGAATGAAATGAGAAATTTCCGCCGGCTCGACGGAAGATAAGTATCGATTGGTTCGCTGGACGGAACGGTGGCTCCGTTAATTTATCGTCTAACGACGCGACGAAACAATACGTAGAAAAATGGAGGACCAGGGGGAAAAACACTGCTCGCTTCTCGATAGAACGTACGGCGAAAGAGACGCTGGTGGGAGTGGTTGAAATTTGTTCGAAAAGATTTACGATTCGGTGCTGCGATGAAATACGTTTATGAAAGGTAGAAGCGACGGAGAAACAAAATGGCGAAGCGACAGTTTTAATGCGAAGTACAAGAACGGTGCGTTTTAATTTGAAGTGAAATTTTTCACTGAGAAAACAGAGCGAAAGATCCTTTTTGATCTGCTCGCAGATTCGGTAACAACGCGTGTAGCTTTTCTGCCGAATCTCTGATTTTCACGCGGAGAAGGTAATGATTACGACGGGGGAGAAGGAAAGAAGATAAAAGAGAAAGAGTCGGCTTAATGTCACCGGGGAAACCGTTTCTGTCTCTATGAGCTTCTCTGGCCCGAGGTTTTCCCTTCCTTTGGAATCAGCTTTGATCGTTCAGCCGAGTGCTAGAGCTTTGTCGCCAGTGAATCTAAGCGGTCATAACCGTGATTCAACGCAGCTTCTTTTCAAACGACGAACAGAAGACTTCTTTCTTTGGAAGATCCGAGACCTTTGATGCGGGCGACTCCTCGTCACTTTGGTAATCCCAATTTTTGCGCGTCGACGCGATTCAACTTTTTCTCGCTTGACCGTCGGCGATTCTTGTAAGAAACTCTTTAGGGTAGTGGAAATGTTTCCTCCTTTTTAAGAGTAGCTCGAGAACTTTAATTTCGATTCATTAGTGTCTTCTTTGGGTTTGATAGACTGCTTGTTTGGAAATTTTTTAATGTGTTTTATATTAGGTTATACAAAATGGCCAAGATTGCATTTCTATGTCATAAAAAATACTTATATTTACAAATCTTGTAATTCAAATTCCAAAATTCTAAGATTGTAAAATTGTAAAATTATAAACTTGTAAAATTCTAAAATTCTAAAATCCTCAAACTTCCCAATTCTCAACTTCCCCAAATCTCAAACTTCTAAAATTTCCAAATTTCTAACAACGGAAAATATATCAAATTTTGTCAAAAATGGCAAGGGAGAATAAAAAGTACTTCCTCCTGAAAATAAAGAAAGAAACCGTTTCATCGACCCTCAAAAAATTGGGAAAAATATGTGAAGTCTTGACACGTGTAAGACAATTTCCCAGAAGTCCGCGCAGCCATTTTCCCGTTTCCTATATTTCTTGTCAAAAATGAACGACTGTAAGAAACAACCGACTCGGCTAGACATTTTAATCATATTTAATTTCAGAAGTAGATCGACGAATTTTTCTTTTCTTTCTTTCTTTTACTTTGCCCTTGTTCGTTCACGACACCGATTTTTTATGTTACTATATTCTTTTGATAAATTTCGTAGATTTTGACTGTCTGAAGTCTGAAGCATGCGTATTTGTAATACAGTAGAAGTTCATTTTATTTTTGAGTATTATGTAGGGGTTATCGTATTATTGTTCAATAATAGTTGAATAATTATTTTATAATTGTGTAACATTTTATTGTATCGTACATAGTTATTATATATAGTAAAACGAATATAAAAATAATTTTTATTATATTATAACAATCTAAGAGTATGTTTCTTTATTCTTTTTATAAGGATTACCATTTTTATATGCTTGTTTAATATTTTTATATTTGCTCATCATGTTTATACATATATTTGGAGATTATGTTAACGTTTTCAATGTTTCGTTGTTGTGTGTTTCAGCAAAACTATCTCATGAAATTTGGTTACCTACCACAAACGGATATTGAAACCGGAAATCTTAGAACAGACGATCAACTGAGGGATGCCATTAGAACTTTACAGGTAAGTTAAACTCTTTTCTACATTATGTAATTTGTAAAAATATTCTTCGAAAAAATGTCCGATTATTTTATCATAAATTACGTAACAAACTTCATCCTAAAGTAACATCACTGAATAAATGATCAATTTATTTTCTCATAAAAGGAATCAACCTATATCCGCCCATACCACAATCACTGAATCACCCAGTATATTATTTTAGAACAGCAGAAATTGCTATAAAACTGATTTAACGTTTTCGAAGATTGCTCTTTCGGACAAGTTACTTTAAAAATCGATGATCATAAAGTTTCGAACAAGCGCATAAAAGCGGAGGATTTAATTAACGAGTGACGACGCATTACCGAAAGGACCATCTCCGCGTTTTAACTTTGTAAAGGATGATTTAATTAGCATACAGCAGTGCGTCGCTAAAAGGATATCATCCACGTTATAAGGAGTCATCTAAATAAAGATTTCCGACTATTTATGCAAGCTCGTAGATCCTTTCGCAGGCCATTAAAATATGCTTTCAATTTCTCGTTTGAATATGAACGAGATGGGTAAATCGAGAGGAGATATTATGAAACGCGAACGATTAAAAATAAATTGATATTTCTTAGCGTACACAGGTAAAGAGCACAGTAATCAATAATTTTTATTTGCAACGACTCGTTTTCGTTGAACTAGAAAACGCAAATATTAAACTAAACATCAAATGTTTCACAGAGAAGATTGAAAAGTGTAAATTTAATTAAGTAAATCGAGTAAACTAAATGTTCACAATATGAGAGAATTTACGTTGCACATAACGTTCTGAATATACTAAAGTACTTCTTTTCAGATAGTCTGCTTGTTCCCACATGATATTTATCGTCGAGAATGTCCGATAATATTTCAAACTTTCCGCGAAATATTCCAGTGCTTTGTATATTCATATTTATTCCATGTTGTAAACCGCGGATAAATATATTGTTGACATTTCAAAATTTTCCATATTTATTCACGGTACTGAAATATTGATGGTTTGCATTAATTTTGGATTTTGGAATTTGGGATTTGGGGATTTATGGAGTAGGGTGGCTAGGGATTTGGGGAATTTAGGAAATTGGGAAGTTGGGAATTTGGGGAGTTGAAAGTTTGGGAAGCTGGGAATTTGGAGGGTTGCGAATTTGGGGAATTTGGTATTTGGAGTGTTGGGAATTCGGGGAGTTAGGAATTTGGGGAATTGGGAATTTGGGGAATTTGGTATTTGGGATGTTGGGAATTTGGGGAATTTGGAATTTCGGGGATTGGGAATTTGGGGAATTTGGTATTTGGGGGGTTGGGAATTTGGAGGTTTGCGAATTTGGGGAATTTGGTATTTGGGGTGTTGGGAATTTGGGGAATTTGGTATTTGGAGTGTTGGGAATTTGGGGAATTTGGTATTTGGGGGGTTGGGAATTTGGAGGTTTGCAAATTTGGGGAATTTGGTATTTGGGGTGTTGGGAATTTGGGGAATTTGGTATTTGGGGTGTTGGGAATTCGGGGAGTTAGGAATTTGGGGAATTTGGTATTTGGGATGTTGGGAATTTGGGGAATTTGGTATTTGGGGAGTTAGGAATTTGGGGGATTTGGAATTTCGGGGATTGGGAATTTGGGGAATTTGGTATTTGGGGTGTTGGGAATTCGGGAAGTTAGGAATTTGGGAGGTTGGGAATTTGGGGAATTTGGTATTTGGGGTATTGGGAATTTTGGGAGTCGGAAACTTGTGGAATTTGGAATTTGAGGAATTTGACATTTGTGGAATTTGGAATTTGTGCAATTTGGGGAATTTGGCATTTATGGAATTTGGAATTTGTGGAATTCGTGGAATTTGAAATTTACATCTCAAAAATATTTAACAACCTTCTGTCCCAAAATAAAAAGATCACATAATTGTGCCACTTCCTCTCAGTTGATGCAAAAGAACGCATCACCTCGAGAAGTTTCGTTATCTTCGTTTCGAGATAACGAAACGATTCTAACAGAATCGCACAGTTGAGGCGACTTTCGAAACTGTTTATCCGATTTGAAGAAGTTTCAAGTAAGAAAGCGGTGAAAAGAACGGAAAGAGGGGAAATTATGTATACAGCGAATTGAGAAGTTGCTCGTCTACTCACCACGAATAAAAATAACGAGTAGCTCGCCTCACACAACTCTCTTTTGAAAGTTCGAGTGTCTCGTTTCTTTCTAGAAGAAGTCGGAAAAACGACTCCCGGTTATATGGTATTCCGTTTGACTACGGGATGAAAACTTTTTCTGCGAGTTCTATGACTTCGCGTCAACGTCGTACGATTCCTTACAACGTTCCCTGGAGGAACAATAACGGCAATATGTGCCGAGAAATTCTTCTATTTTCTTCAGAATTGGAAAATCAAATCTTCGAGGAAATTTTTCTAATTTCAGGTCGTGGAATGTGTAGACTTTGTTCGCGTTTATTTGATGGCATGTCTCGGTGTATTACTTAGGGGTTGTAACTCAAAGGTTGCTTGGTAACAAAGTGAAAACACGATGTAGAATGAATAATTAGAGCGTGATGCATTGTGTGATGTTAAACAGATTTTTAATTTGTGAAATGTTATATTTTTGTTTAAAGTGAAATTGAAATGAATTTTTTTAATATTTTTGTAAATTGTTCAAATTTGCGCTTGCTATTTAAATTGAAGTAAATAGACAATTTTTACTGAAAATAAATTTAGTAAGTTTTTATTCGAGATTGAGATTGAAGTAAATTAAAAATTTTTGTTTTAATAAATTTAGAAAATTTTTGTTAAAAATTGAGATTGAAGAACATTTTTAATCTTTGTTTAACATTTTAGAAAATTTTTGTTTAAGATTGAGATTGAAATAAATTTTCAATTTTTATTTAAAATAAATTTAGTGGGTCTTTGTTTAAGATTGAGACTAAAATAAGTTGTCAGTCCTTGTTTAAAATAAATTTAGAAAATTTTTGTCTAAAATTGAGATTGAAATAAATTTTCAATTTTTGTTTAAAATAAATTTAGGAAACTTTTGTCTACAATTGAGATTGAAGTAAATTTTCAATCTTCATTTAAAATAAATTTAGAAAGTCTTCTTTCAAGATTGAGACTGAAGTCTTTTTTCAATCTTCATTTAAAATAAATTTAGAAATTCTTTGCACAAAATTGAAAATAAAGTGAATTGTCAGTCCTTGTAGAAAAGAAATTTAAAAAGTTTTTCTCTGAAATTAAAATGGAAATAAATTTTCACCCCTCCTGTAAAATAAACATCGATAAAAATAAATTTTCAGATTGTTTCAACATTTTAGTTTAAAATATCTCACTGATAAATGACTTGAAATATTTCAGGAACTATTGATTTGTTTAATGCGACACTCTGATATCTTTTTGTATGGGATGTTTAAAATAATTTGTCAACGTGAAAATATTTCATTCTGTTTAAAAGTAAAATCTGCAATTTTTGGCGCATTAATGATAAGTTCTATGAATTTGTGAATAAATCGTCGTACTAAAATTTGTAAATAAAATGTACGTGAAGTTATACATATTATTGAAGACGTATTAAAATTTATATATAAATTGAAATCGTACTAAAATTTGTAAATAAAATCTGCACGTTTATAAATAAATTCATGTATTACAATTTGTAAATAAAATATGCACGAATTTACAAATAAATTCATGTATACAAATTTGTACATAAACTAAGTAAGAATTTATAAATAAATCGAAGTTAAAATTTGAAAATAAAATATGCAAGAATTTATAAATAAATTCATGTATAAAAATTTGTAAATAAACTAAGTAAGAATTTATAAATAAATTGAAGTTAAAATTTGTAAATAAAATATGCAAGAATTTATAAATAAATTCATGTATAAAAATTTGTAAATAAACTAAGTAAAAATTTATAAATAAATTGAAGTTAAAATTTGAAAATAAAATATGCAAGAATTTATAAATAAATTCATGTATAAAAATTTGTAAATAAACTAAGTAAAAATGTAAATAAACTAAGTAAAAATT